ATATTATAATGTTTAAATAAATTTGAGCTGGGAGTGTTGGCACACACCGGTGATCCAACACTTGAGAGGCTGAGACAGGAAGATCACCATGAGTTCTGGGTCAACCTGAGCTACATAGCAAAGCCCTAACTCAAACAAAATAAAACAGGGTCTACTTTTTGGGGTGTTCTTTTTGAGACAGAGTTTCACTATGCAATTCAGGCTGTAATTCAGTTTCACTATGCGATTCATAGTGAAATGAGCTCACTGTGTAGCCTAGGCTGGCCTCCAACTTGAGCAATTCTCCTGCCTCAGCTCCCAAGTGTGACTGCTGGGATCCCAAGCAGGTGCCACCACATCAGGCAAAAAACAGAGCACATTTAATTTATTTATTTTCAGGGGATAGAGTTTTACTCAGGGTGGCCTTTAACTGGTGGTGATCTTCCTCCTAAGGGCTGGGGATACAGGCTTATGCCACCATACCCAGCCAAAAATGTCCTGGTGGGGGCTGGGGAGATAGCTCAGTGGAATAAGTGCTTCCCTGGCAAGCACAAGGGCCTGAGTTCAATCCCTGGTTCTGCCAAAAAAAAAAAAAAAAAGGTCCTGTTTTTCAGGGCTGGGCTGTCGCACAGTGGTGGAGAGCTTACCTAGCATGCATGAGGCTCTAAGTTCCATTCTCTCTCTCTTGCTTTTTTTTTTTTTTTTTTTTTCAGAACCAGGGATTGAACTCAGGCCCTTGTGCTTGCCAGGCAGGCACTTATTCTAGTGAGCTATCTCCCCAGCCCCATTCACAATGAGAGAGAGAGAGAGAGAGAGAGAGAGAGAGAGAGAGAGAGAGAGAGAGAACCCAAAACACCAAAAAATAGCAAAGCATTGGGTCCTGCCCAGTGCAGAGGGAAGAAGTCTCTGCCGAGAGGCCAGGAAGACTGACCAGACTGGCTGGGATCCTAATCACAGCTTTTTGTCCAATCACATTTCTACGAGGCACTAGGTTTCCATGGAACCCAACCCTAAAATCAGCCAGTTTTCCTGGGGTCTTTGCATCTTCATGCTGCAGGCTCTTGTGTCATGTGGAATTTTGTTAAATCCCTTACGCCTTTCTCTCGTTCTGTCTTTCTTTCTGCAGTGTGGGCCATGCCCTTGCAGAAGGTGAAGAAAAGAGTCCCATCTTCCCAGTGGGATGAAATCCCTGTCACTTTGTCAGAAGGTGCGAGACAGCTCCAGGGATTGGGGCTGACGTGTATTAAGGAGTCCTTTTGTGTGAAACACAGGAGACTGAGCTTAAGGGGCTTCTCACCATGGGGCCCGAAGCAGGGCTGGGGCCGGGAAGCCTGGCTCCAGGGCTCGGAGCACCCAGCCCAGGCTGAGGCACAAGGCAGGTGTGGAGAGTGCCCCTGCGGCTCACACTGACACTGTATTCATCCGGGCCAGCTGGGCAAGGCGGGAGGAGGACAAGGCGCGCGGCAAACCAGCTGGGGGCGGGCTGAGAATAGCACAGCAGAACAAAGGGAAGTGTGACTCTCCTCTCACAGGGGCCAGTTTCTGCTTATGCAAGGGTCAATCACCCCCATATTCCACGCGGCTTTGGGGTCCTGCCTTAAATGTGTCTATCTGCAATCCTGCCTCACCCTCCCAGAGCGTGCACCATCACGTCTAGCTGTACATTCCAGTTTTGGAATTCAGGTTTCAATTATTAAGGTCCCTTGTGCATCCTATGTGTCTAAGCCAAATCTGATTTTTGTACTTTCAACGAAGAAATGGACCTGCAGAATGCAGATTCTGCAGCGAGCCGGAGTGCGGTGGGGCGGTTTAGGCCGCAGAGTAGTCAGGAATCGCTCTCAGGGCTGCAGGCCAGCGTTGTGCTCGCAGCGAGAGCTTCTGCGCCGGTGCTGTGGGCCCCCCGCCCCGCCTCTCACCCCCGCG